AAATTTGTCCTGACAATGCGAGGGCCATAGCAACCTGCAGAGGATGCGTCTAAGGAAACTAAGATGCATTTCTCAGATTAGGAAATGGCAGATATGGTAGTTCGCTGCTATATTATAGTCAGTCTTTCCAAATACTTGCAGAAGCAAGTGTACATGATTAAGAGTGGAGTAGAAATGCTTCAGACTCTTAATGACATGTTTGCTGCGTCTAGCAGCTTTGCTAGACAGAATGCAGTCGGTGCAGGTTTTGCTAAGAGTCTTGTTAAATCCAAAGGGAAACCCAAGGGTGGTAACAAGAACAAAATGACGTGGTTATCAGTAGTCAAACCAGTTGCTATGAAGAAGCCGCAAGGCAAGTTCTTCAAGTGCAGACTGAAGGAATACTGAAAGAAAAATTGCCCATAGGTGATGAAAAGAACCAGACATGGGCATATCTAGGCCTGATCAGTGAATGAATTATTTATTCAGGAATCACTGATTATGTTTGTTACTCTTTGTAGTAGTTCAAACATGGATAACAATGGACATAGATATTTTAACTTGAAAATGGGAACTTGTGTCTGCATTTGCAGTAATACAAGTTATTTATAAGACTATGGTTTTGGGTGACTATTTATTTATTCCAATTATTGTTAGTTGTTTTGATTAAAACATGGTTTGAATCAATCTTCGTCTTGTTTTGTTTACATTGTGTTGAATGGAAGGATGATGAACAAGAAATTTCACCAAAGAAATAAAAGTTTCAAATGAAACATAACTTTGGCCTTTGTGATTGTCCTATACCCTTTTTAAATTTGTTATGTTGAATGGAAGGATGATCAAGAAATTTCACCAAAGAAATAAAAGTTTCAAATGAAACATAAACATGTTTTAGTTAAAAGAGGGACTGAAAGTTCAATAATCTTTTAACTAACAGCTACGTGTTAGTCCTATTTGGAAGGTAAAGTGGCCAAGCAATCCTACAAGGGCCAAAAAGGTTTGCGCAACTATTCAACTGGAACTGGTACATACTAATGTATGTGGACCAATTAGTGTTCAGACCAGAAGAGGTGAGGAGTACTTCATTATATGAATGTTTACTCTGGATTTGGACAGATGAACCAAGTGCGCCATAAGTCTAAGGCTTTTGGAAATTCCAAGAGGTTTAGTCTGAGGCAGAAAAGCATGTAGGTGTTCAAATCAAAAACCACTTTGGTCTACTAAAGTGTTTGGCTACCTGTCTGGTAATTTCAGGTCTTACCTGATTTAAGAGGGGATAGTTTTCGTAACTGTCAACTCTAAGAACGCGTTAGTTGAATGAAGTTGTAGTATGCAAAAATCAAACATTTCTAGACTTGGTGAAGATCATGTTCAGTTATTCATCTTTGCCAATGTTGTTCAAGGGAGATGCCTAAGAGAAGGAAATGTACCTTCTTCACTTGGTTCCGTCAAAGTCTGTTGTAAAGACACCTAAAGAATTATGGAAAAGGTGCAAGCCCAGATCAAACCATATTCGGATTTGGGGTGCTACGGCACACGTCCTACAACAACAGTCAAATAAGATGGAATCTTGTATGGAAGAGTGCATATCTTTTGGCTACCCTAAGAGAACTATGGATGATTTCTTCTTTAGTCTTAAGGACAAGATAATCTAAGTGAGCACTCACATGATTTTCTTAAAGGAGGACTAGATAAGAAATTATAAGCTCTTAAGTTAGGTTATTCTTGAGGAGATTTATCTCAGATCAAGAATTTTCAGAATCTGTAGAAGCTTCATCCACTGTTTCCTTGATTGTTCAAGAGGGGATAGATATATCTTTAAGTGAACAAACAAGAGAACCATGATTGGAAATTTAACATGATAATATATAAGTGAAACTAGTAGAAATATTAGTATCACATGTAAAGGAACAATATCAAGGATAAGCGGATCCTCAAGAAATTGAAGATCCATCATTTGACCCACTCTTTGTTTTACCTATAAATACACAAGGTCTAGTGCAGTACATTCGTAGTGGGAGAGAACCTTGTTAACTCTCAAGTTGTCTCTTGTTGAGTGATATTGATCCTACTAGTTACGATAATGCACTAGAAGATGTTGTTGATCAAGTGTTGCTCAGGCTATGAACAATGAGATGAAATACTTGTATTTCAACTCCGTTCGGTCCTAGTAAAGACGCCAAGAGGGGTAAAACCCACAAGGTGCATGTGGACATAAAAGGCATAGAGAGGATGGACAAAAAGGTGAAAACCTTCAAAGCTAGCTTGGAGGCATTTTTTGCCAGACGCCATGCTTGAGTCTATCCAGATTCTCTTAGTTGTTATAAGTCTCAATTATGAGATTTCATTTTGGGAGTTGGATGTCAGGATATCTACATACAACAACCAAAAAGGTTTATAGCAAATGAGTAGGAACACACGGTATGCAAGTTGTGAAAGTCTATTCCATAGACTTAAGCAAGCATCCAGGTCTTGAAACATCAGTTTTGATCAGGTTATCAAAATTTTGATTTTGAGAGAACCTTGATGAATGATGTGTATTTGTATGTAAAGGATACAACGGAAGACAGTAGCTTTTCTGGTACTTTATGTAGATGATATGCTCCTTATTAGAAACAATGTGGAGGTAATATCAAGCATAAAGAGTTGGCTAAGTTAGTGTTTTGGTATGGAAGTACTGGGGAAGCCAATTATATTCTTAGTATAAAACTCTTATGAGGCCAGAAGAATAAGTTGTTGGCATCACCTCAGGCTACTTACATTGACAAAACTCTTGCCAAAATTCAACATGAGAATTCTAAGAGAAGAATTATAATTCTCAGATGTGGAATTCATCTTCCTAAGGAGTGACCAAAGACTTCTAAGAAGGAAGAATGCATGAGCAAGATATCTTATGCTTTGGCAAAGGTAGACTCACGCATATCATGTTGGGCGTTAAACCAGACATCTGTCACGCAGTGGGAGTAGTGAGATAGTACCATTTTGAACCTAGGGGAATACTAGATTATTGTTAAGCATGTACTCAAGTATCTTTGGAGAACGAGAGATTATATGCTGGTATATTCTAGTGGGAGTCTTGAAAAGCTGAGTTTTCAAAAATTCAGTTATTTCAAGTGGATATTGACTCAAGAAAATCAACCTCGAGCTATGAGTTTTTCACTAAACTCAGATAGCATTAGAGGTGGATCTTGCAGACCCAGTTACTAAGAGTTTGCCTGAACTTGTGTTCGAGAGGCATGTTACTTCTTTGGGTCTTAAGAGGATCCCAGACTTGCATTAAGCAAGTGGGAGTTATTGGTTTCATTGTGCTCTTGGAGTAAGACCATGAAACAATAAAATAATTTTCTGAATTTCATAAATAAGGTTTTATTTATTTATTTTGCGCACTATTTACAAACATAAAGGTCCGGATCAAATTGTGGAGTATATGATCATATGGATACGTTCATGGAGGACATGATCATAGGTTCTCACAATTGATGAATGGATTCACAACTGTTAAATAAAGTTGGGCACTTTATTTAGGCTGCAATATTTTATGAAATGGTTTTGTCCGAATCATTGGAAAATATTGGTGTGAATTAACATTCACATTGAAAGGATCAAGGAGAGATTTGATTAAGGTTGTTTTTCTGTCATAAGGTATCAAATCTCCAGTTAACTATAGTTATGTGATTGCTCTTAATCCTGAGTTTATTATAAATAGGTAATCAAATAGTTTTCATTCTTTGATTTACCAACGGGTGAGGTTCGATCTATTGACGGCCAATAACTCGGTATTTTGGGAGTGAGATTATTTGATTATCGGTATTTATGAGATAAACAACATGGAATTTGTAGGATATGTCCCCTTGATATGTTTCGGTACTTGGATATTAAAGACACTGGCCAGTGCACGTAATCCATTAAAGAAACTATCATAGTCAAGGGAATAAATAATTGATTGAGTTACAGAAAACTTGTCAATCAATTATAGACATTCTACAAAGGGGCGATGCATATTCATGTTATAAGTGTTGTTAATCTTGGAGTTCAAGTTCGGGCTTTTAGTGGAGTAGCACCGAATTAGATAATCATTCGTTGATTATCAAGAGCCTTGATTAATAACAGATGGTAGATCCCCAAGCTAGCTTGAGACAAGGGATGGGGTATTTTTCGGATAGATGATGACTTATGGGTTACATGATCTTGGGTTTTACGACTCAAGTTTGTATCCAAAAGAGCAAGTGAGAGATTGTTGGGTTTGCTCTTTTACTAAAGCCCAAATGGGTTATTAGTATGAGAAGAGCCCAAGGAACCTAGAGCCCAATGAGCTAGGGTTTCTTGGAACCCATATAAATAGTACCTCTTAAGTCATCAGCCTCCAAGGTCTTTTTTGTGAGAAAGAGGCAAGCTCTGAATCTAATCAGTGCCCACACACTTCCCCTTCCTCCTCGAGAGATAGTTTGGAAGATCAGCCACAGTCCAGCTTTCAAGGAGGTTGTTCGTGCTGCGGCGCTGAGGTGAGCTGTTCGTGAAGAGGAATCCTACAAGGGAAGATTCTACACGAGACCTGCGCACCGAGAGGTAATTGTGAAACAAGGATGATTCGGTAAGCATACCAATGTACTAGGTCCTAAACCGCTTCCGCATAAATCTAAGATTTCCTACAGTCTAAACCCACTCTTAGATGAAAAATCTTTTGTAGAAAAGGATTTCATCTCACATGTATATAATCGGAAACCTTAGCCTCACTAATCACTATTGTCATTGTCGACACACCATCCTTTTTTAGCTATCAACCAACCACAATGCATAATGATGTGCCATCATCAGCAATTGTCTAAACATAGACACTGCTTCCCTTCATATCCAAATCAAACACATAAAAATAAAAATAAAAATAAAAATTGTACATGTATAAATATTTAAGAATTGTAGAAATTTTAACAAAAAAGAAAACGAAAAAAAGTCAAATTAGAAATCATAGTTGTCTTATTGATGAACGAGGAGAACTGCAATATCAAAAGCTAAAGATACTCTTAATCTAGTTCTTGGGTCTCCACCACAGCCCATTTGTTAATGCGATTTTGTGCTATCTCTACCTGTAACATCCAAATACAACTTTAATATGCTTCACTAAACATGGAAAATCAATTTACACACAGTAAAATAAAAATAAAAAATACGAATAGTTAGTTACCTGCTTGTCCCAATCAGTTTTAAAAGTGATGATAATAAGCACTACGGTTTGAACAAATGTTCCAAACAGCATCCCAATCCAAACACCCTGCAAAAAAGGGATATACACGATTCATCACTTAACTTGTTTTAATCATGGAATAATAAGGGGGGCAAAAAAAAAATAGATTAATTACCTTGACTTGCAAATTGAAAAAGATACCAATCACCACTCCAACAGGAATACCAATTAGGTAATAACAGCCTATGTTTACATATGCTACAATGCTTTGCCACCCAGCTCCAATAGAAACTCCTATTAATAAGGTTATGACAAATTATAATTCTCTCTCAACAAATTAATATGGTACGTGAATAATTTTTAAATAAATAAAAGATATAATTAATTTTTTAAAAATATTAAATATACATGAATTTATACAAAATAGAATTATTGTAATTTTGTATATATTCCTAATGTTTTTCATGTACCATGAGATAAAATTATCTACCGTAACCCAAAGCGACATTGTTTAGGAGCTTGGAAGAAAAAGATATAGGATATTTTAATAAAATTCATAATACAAGAGAAATATGAAATTTCTAAAATACTATGATTTTTTTTTTCAAAATACCAAAATAATATTGTTTTGAGATTGTATGAGATAATTTTATCTCCCTTTTAAAAGAGAAACATTTTTTCCATTCTACATCCATTATATATATAATTAGAGGGACATATTATTCTTACACAATAAGAAATCTTTTATTATACTTGTCATTGATTCACTTATCTAATAACTAATTAAAGAATTAGAGTATGAAGTGGAATTAACGGACAATATTGAGAATATAACTTATATTCATATGCAATGATCCTGAAACATATATATATATAATGAGTAAGGTTATACTTACAAATTTTTTATTTACAAACTCTTACAAATTACACTATGTCTGATTGGTCATACTTTAATCAAGAGTGTATGACCGATCAGACTTAATATAATTTGTAAAAAAAATTTATAAACGAATCATTCCCTGTATATAATTTATGTTGTATTATGTGAAGTAGAAAGAGACAAAATTATAAAGATTACCAGAGAGCACAGGTTGGACACTGTTTAAGAGCACGGAGACTGCAAGGAAAGGTGATAAATCCGCAACTGCTTCAGCCACAGCAGGGTTTGGAGTGAAAATGTAAGCAAGTCTTTTCCTCAGAAATAGGAAGACCAAGAAAAGGATGAATCCAATGATAAATGATGTGAGAACTGTTATCACAATGGAATATTTTGCTGCCCTTGAACTCCCTCTTCCAAGCTCGTTTGACACCCGGACACTGCAAATTAGTCAATACTCACAATCATTCTCTTCTTCTGGGAATGCAATGTTGGTAATTTTAATTTAAATATTAAAGTTCAACACCGATTAAAAATGAAATAAATAAGGAAAAATATTTTTCCGGAGATAAAGTCATATTTTGCAATATCAAAACTACTTGGGTTTGAGGGTTTGGGAAATTAATAAATGATATTTTGATAAAATTCATAAAACAAAGAAGCAAAATAAAATTATTAAAATATCTTCGTTAATTCATTCAATCCTCGTAATGACGTAATTTAGGGTTGTTAACATAGTTATTAAAATCGGACCAACCCGGCCGGGTTGACCCGGGAATCGGTAAACCAGTCATATAACCGGTCCGGTTGAAGCAATGGACCGGCCATGCATAAAAACCGGTGCGACCCGGTCTAACCCGACCGGTTTTCACAAAATTTGGTGACCCGGTCAGTTAACCGGTAACCCGACCCGGTCCAAAAAAAAAAAATTCCAAATTTTTGTTTTTTCAAAATAAATCATAATAGCCATATTTGAATTTTTTTTGCTTATTGACTTACATAAGTTATGTACCTACAACACTAATATTATCTCAATTATGTATTATGCATAAAATTTTGAATTAGTTTATAGTTAGAGATGTCGTTTTCTGAACCTAAAGTCCCGTATCACGATCATTATATTTTTATTTGATAATAATATGTGATTTATTATATTTTGTATTAAAATATTTGAAATTTGTATCTTTTTTTTTAGATATTTGAGTATGTTTATAATTTTTTAATATAAATTATAAAATTACATATAATTACCGGGTCATGCGGTTGAACCAGTGACCCACTGGTTGAACCAGTGACCCAATGACCCGGTACCTCGATCGGATCAATGACCGGGCCAATTTTAATAACATTGATTGTTAAGATAATTTTATATCCTATAAACAAGCCAAATAAGTAAGGACGATAAAAGTGAAATAACACATAAACTTAATATTTTAATGTTTTGGGTTGTCATAGATAAAAATCTCAAATTAATATTTAAAGAGAGGATATTTTTCTTTTGAAAAAATATAATTAAGCAAGCCTTAATATTGTTCCAAAAAATTACTGAAAAGGAACACGTGATAAAGTATTTACTGTGATATTTTACACTGAAATACTATATTGTTTTTAAACAAAACCACTACACTTTTTTTCCTTCGCTGTACATATTTTTACCAGGGTTTTTTTTGTTTATTTAAAGAGTAGGATTATATTGACAATTTTTTTTTTACAAACTTACAAACTACACTATGTATGACCAGTAGTACTCTACTCAAGAGTGTATTACCGGTCAGACATAATATAGTTTGTAAATAAAAAGTTTATAAATATAACCTTCTCCTTATTTAAAACACACTCTCTCTCTCTTTTTAATTTTTTTTTCTATTTGATAAGCCATATTTTGAGTGAAGAAAAATAAAAGAGATTGTGATGACAATAAAGCACCTAGCTGCAGCAAAGAAACCAAGGGATATCATCATTTCCCACCCACTGATGTTTAGGCTGCAAAAGAATGATAATTTGATTGAGTTAGTGAGAGGATTAATTTATAAATGAAGAAGCAAGGATTATATAGTTTAATATGAAAATTTGGAAGCAAAAAGTAGAATTAAGAATGAGATAGAGTTACCATATGGACAGAGCATCAATGGAAACCTCAGCATCTTTCATGTTCCCTGTTAGAAGAATCAAAACTGTGCTGTACCAAATCTCCAGACTGTAAAAGGAACCATAGCTTTATATTAGTCCTTAAAATGTTTTATCACAATAAATTAGCAGGATATAATTTCTCATCTACAACAAAATAGTTTTACCTAACACAAAAAAAAAAAATGGATGAGACTCGTCAAGGAAAAAAGAGAAAGAAAATAAATGGATCTCATTCACTTTTTTGGATGTTGTATGAGACAAACTGTCTCATTCAACTTAAAAAATTATATTCCCATAAATTATTAAGTTATAACACATAATTTAAAACTTACCTAATCTTTTACGAGTAATTTTTTTTTATACCGAAAACCGATTTTTCTTGTTCTAGCTAGATGATCAAAACGCCCAAACTTAATTACTAATTGATTAGCATTTTTGGTTTTCTCAATTAATGAGTAGAGATGAAAAATTGACACTAGAATATAATTCTCTATGTAATTCAAGTGTGACACAATAAATATATAAGTGAAAAGATTCATTAGCTGTTTGTCATAAAATTTTAAGGGGGAAAAATTACTCTTATATTGTTGGAAAATAGTTCTCTTTTCTATACACTCATCGATTTTCGTATAACTTAATTTTTTTATTTTTTATTTTTTTATAAGTGAGTGAGATTCATTCATGATTGTAACTATAGTAGAAGAGAATTATTCTCTACAACATGAGGTTAATAAAACCTATTTAAAATTGTTACATAATATCACACTCATTTGTTGTAATATATTATCGCCTTAACTCATTAACAATGGTGTGGTGACATGGGTTCCTAGTGGATTTATGCAATAAGAGTGCTAGTCAATTACAGTTTATGCCAATGGAGGAGCTAATTTTTTTTCTTTTTTTGAAAAAAAAAAGAGAGACAAATAGTCAATACATAGTCAGATTCGAAAAATTCTCAAAGTTTTCTTTATATATAAGTAATAATAAAATCGACTTTATGTTTGGTTCATCAACCGCTAATTCAATTGATTTCAAAGGAATGTGTTGTTGATGTTGAGATTAATAAATAATAATAAAATTGAAAATCGGAAAGCTGGGCTTAGGAAAAAGTTATATTGATAAACTTTTTTTTCTTATAAATTACACTAAGTCTAAGTCTGACCAGTTATACACTTTTAATTGAAGTTTGACCAGTCACACTTAGTGTAATTTACAAGTTTGTAAGGAAAAAAGTTTGTCAATATAACCCTTCGATAAACTTATACTAAACTACATTTCTCTAAATGATGTCTAAGATAAAAGTTTATTTCATTGAGGGGATGGTCACCCTTCCTAACTTCTCCCTGCTCCACCACTATGTATTTAGAAATGGATAATGAAAAATGCTTAATTTCTTACCACATCATAGCTCCAGAGGACAGGGAAAGCTTGATAACAGGCCAGAGATCTTTGAAGGCCAAAAATGAGAAACCCTTCCACGTCTGAGGGCATTTATGCATGATAAACATAAGCTGGCCCAAATTGGGTATCCAGTATGCCAATATTGTTGCTATCATTGCACCATTGAGCCCAAACTTGTATTTAACAGTCAAAAGCCATGACAAAAAAATGTGAATAGAAACTGAAAGTGCTGCTAGGTAGGTAATAATCATGTTCTTGCTCTGTGCTTGTAGGAACATTTGGCATGTGAATGACACAATAAAAGCAAAGATAGCACCTATAGACCAAAGAGAAATGCTTCCTGCTACTTTTGCAATGCTTTTGTCTTGGCCTAGAGCCTCTAAAATTGGGGTGGTAAAGATGTAAATAGGAAGAAGAAGAATTGTGGTCAAGAACAAGACTATCCATGATCTTTGTAGATACACTCCAAGCATGTTATACCGTTTTGCCCCATATGCTTGCCCACATAAAGTTTCCAATGCACTTGCCATACCAAGCTGCAATTTTCAATTTGCAACCATTCAAACTGTGTAAAATGTAAACTCAATAGATCTTTTCATGTGAAAAAAACCCTTCATTCTTTGATAGATCAATGGTAAGTAATTAAAATAAAGGAAATATAGCTCTCCTTTTGCTACAATTTTTTTTTGGGTTTATCATCTATCATTTAACATGACCACAACAAGTTTCTTACACACAACATTTTGTGGGGCCCGCAGCAAAAAAAAAAAAACTTCGGCACGCAAAACGAATCTCTATAACATAACACAATCACTTTTCCTACAACATAACTCTTATAAAATCCTTTTTTTTTCCACAGCAACATTATATAAAGTTAGGATACATCGACAGATCCTGATTTTTTTAAACGAGATGGTTCTATTTTTTCTGTGTCTGTTACCAAAAATATCATCGGCAGTGACAGCAGAAAAAGAGACCCTTAAAATAATCATTCAATCTTTTTTGTTTTATGAGTTTTGTCATTAAAATTATGTAAAAAAGAAGTATCATTTAAAAGGACACAAATTGTGTCCTTTTAGATAATTTACACTGATCGGTCATACTCTGTGTAAATATAAAAAATTGTTTTTTTTTTCTCTCCTCAGTCACATCGCTGACGTGTAAAGTGAAAAAAAAGTAAATTTTCAAATTTACACATAGTATGACCGGTCATACTCTGTGTAAGTCACTAAAAGGACACAACTTGTGTCCTTTTAAATGACACATACTAAACCCTAAAATTATAATCATTGATCTCTCAATAAATGACTGAAATTATTCACATCAATATGATCATTCTAGAGACAGACAAGATGAGAGGATCCATTTTCGGCCTCTGTATATGATATAAGTAAACTGAACTAGTTGAAACAAAGAGAACACTATAAGAGAAAGACTTACCAATACACCAGTTGCAAACCTGACAAGGACAGTCATGACAAGGGCAAAGGCAGCAAGTTCAGTGGATCCAATATGTCCAATGAAAGCTTGACTAACTACAGTGATACCAAACGTTGAAAACCTTGTGAATATGGCAGGTCCTGCCACCACCCATATCTTCTTGCTTTCTTCCCATACCCTTTTCCTCACTGAATCTTCCTTGTCAACACTCTCTTTTGAATTGGTTGGCTTCTGCAAAAGATTCTTCTTTAGCTCCTCTTCCATTGCCACTACTAACTTGGAGCTGCCAAATTTTATTGACATAAATATGCTTCGTATATATATCACTAGCAAAAATATAAAAATAAAAAAATAAAATAAAATTGTCATATATATAGATAATCCAAAGGCCATTGGGGACCTAATTAGGACCTTGATTGAGAAAAAAGAATTAAGATCCAAGACCTCACTTAAGGAAAGGGGAACCAAAGTCCATTTTTAGAGCATTAGCTATTCTCCTATTTAGATTTGTTTTTCTCCATATTGATATATTTGTGAACCACATGGTCCTGCATGCCTACTACACTGTATTGTTTAGTGGCAACAACATTAATTTGTTTTCCATATTTATAGAGTGGCTTGTCTTTAAGTAGAGTCGTTATTTTAAAGAAAATATAACAATCATGTTGCAGGAATAATACTGTTCATTCTTGTAATTATTTTTTAACTATGTATTATTAGAAGTACATAGTTAAAAAAAATAACTTTAATATTACAATAATGTACTACAGAGAATACATAGTTAACAAAAATAACTTTAATATTATAATTATATACTGCCGAGAATACATAATTATAAAATGATTATAGGATGTCCTGTTGTCCCTATCACATGACATCCGATGCACCCTTATTTTAATGTTACAGTCTAGCAGATGTAATATGTTACCCTTTCTTTTATTTTATTAAAAAAATGGACAATTGTTTTTATTGATTAAAGCAGAATACCCTTTATACAGAAATAACTATAGCAACTGGGAGAGCATTTTCGTGAAACAATCAACTATTCCAAAAGTTTAAACACTAACATTTATTTTTACACAAAAATTCTACTAACTTGAATTTATGCTAAGAAATTCTATAATATTTACAAAAAGAGGATCAAATTCTAAATCACTTGACCATAAATTAAAACTTTTATAAACAATCGAAGAATTTAAGTTGTTAGGGGAAGCTAAATATAAAAAAGTGGTTTTTATATTTTATATTATATTTCTAACCTTCTTTTTTTTTTTTTTTTTTTTGATAATCATCTAACCTTCTTTTATTTTATAACTTTTACTGTTTCATTGGCTGATCATACGCTTGCAACCCGTGAATTTACTTATAAAGTTGATTGGTACTAATATATTAAACAAATTTCAGTGACTATATTTTTTTCTAAGGAAAAGTAAGAGAGGGACACTTACAATAAGATATCAATGTAGAAAGGAATCTACATTTAAGACAATGAAATCCCATGTCTTTCATTCTTGGGAGGAATATACGAAGTTACAAATGAAGGATTGACACTAAATTAACATATCATATTCAATAAACATGGATGGTTTGAAGGGTTAAAATTGACACTTGAAAGCCTAGCCACCTCAAATTTCTACAATATAATGTTATTATTTATTCCCATTGAAATATGTACAAAATCTGAAACTTCAAATTAAATTTTTTTTTTTTTATCAATTTATAATCAACACAAACTCGCAGTATTAAGTAATGAGAACTTACCTTTATTTATATAATTTATATTTCCCCCAACCTACCGATCAAAATAAGAAGATATATATGATGAATCACCAATAACTATACCAAAATAAAAAATAAATAAACAAATTATTAAGAGAATGTTTAATTGTATTCTGCTTTTTTTTGTTCTTCAAACTATTTTATAGAATAGATATGAAAACATGTGTTTTCTGAATTTTGTTTTGTTCTAAAAGTTAAAAATCAAAACACAAAAAAAAAACAACTCAGACATGTTTTATAAATTTAATTCTAAAAACAAAAAAATAATTACAATTTTTAAATTTTTTTTACAAAATAAGTCTTATCAAACAGATTTTTTTTGTTTTTTTGTTCTGAAAATAAAAAAACTGTTTTCAGAAAAGTATTCAAACAGCGCCTAATTTTCTCAGTTTTGAACTATAACACATAAGCAGGGATATAGTGGAAGAACTTGCTTGAAAATCAGAGCAAGCATAAGAAAACCAAGAAGTTTAGGCGCAAAGTTCAAGTGCAAATGATGACAAAGGATGGATACTAACCTTGTTTGAGCACACTCAATAGGCACAAAACATATACACACAAGATTATATACAGACGAGTAATTTATCATTGTATTGTGTCGTCTAGTTCATCAAGGAAGGTGTGGATTGTGCTGCCCGGTTAATGTTACGTTTTTTATTAATGAAATTCTTTATTCATTAATGTTATGTTTTTCCATTGAATTCCTTATTAATATTCAGGTCCGTTGTATACTCTCTCTTTTTTCGATAAATTATATAATTTTAATACATTAAATTAAAATCAAATTAATGATAAGGAATTAGCAATTTCATATAATAAGTCCATCCTTTCCTCATATACATAGAGAGAGAGAATTTCAATAATTTTTAATTTTAACTATTTATGAGAGATTAAATGGTCCTTTTTAATTTCTGCAACCTCCACAATTTTTTGTCAACATTATCTGTTAAGATAAAAGTTAAGGAATAAAAAATATTAATTAAAAATTACAAGTAATTAATATACCAAAAATTTAAAACAATTTAGTATTTAAGTAATAAATTCTGTTTTATCATTTAATAAATATATATATATATATATATGTCAAAATAATTTTTAATTTTAATTATTTATAAGGTAATAAAGAATTAAAAATAGAAATTATTAAATAAAAGGAATAAGTATTTATATATTAGGTCAACACAACTTTAAATAAATTTTATTTCTATTTCTTTTGCAGAAAATATTTTATCTAAAAAGCCCTATAAATTTAACGAATAATTCGCTTGTACACGCCAGCATAACACGATCACCTATGAACAGACATACGGTTAGGCTCAAGGGGGGCGATTCTGCTACTATGGCTACTTCTATTCTCAAAATTTGAATTTAAATATTTTAAATAAGAAAAATAAATTCTTTACCACTTAAAATTAATAATTATTAGGGGGAAGGACCGTTGTAACTTTAAAGGTGAACGTTTATTTAAATGAGATTGAATGGTAAAAATTAATATTTTTCTTATTATACATAACATTATTTTATTATTTATAAATATTTTATTTTATATAAATTAAATAAATATTAGGCCCGACTATAAATTTATAGACAAATGCTCTTAACACACTGTATGCCTTATTTACCATATATATATATATATATATATATATATATATATATATATATATATAAAAGAGAAAAATATTTCTCATATTTCTCAAGTTGCTTGAGATATATTTATTTTCGATTATCCCTAAACTACATCGTTTTATTTATTTATTTTCTTATATTAATTGATTCACCTTTGAATGGTTATGATTCTCTTTTTCTCTCTATTCCTTTATTACTATTCATCCATCTGTGTACGGTTATAATTTAATAGCGGGAGATAAAGTTATCTCAAGCTGCTTGAGATAATTTTATCTCTGGCTACTAAATCATATCCGTACAAAGATGAATGAATGATGATAAAGGAAGAGATAGAAAAAGGGAATCATAACCATTCAAAGATGAATCAATTAATATAAGGAAATAAATGAACACAACAACGTAGTTTCGAGGTGGCCAGAGATAAACTTATTTCAAGTTGCCGGAGAAATATTTTTCCCTATATATATATGTGTGTGTGTGTGTGGTGGGTTTTTTTTGAAGATAGAGGAATTTTTTTAAATAAGTCTTGTGGTTTATTCATGTGACACCCATTTAAAAAATTTTACCCTGGAATATTTTCACTAATTATTTTAATTAATTAGTTTGTAAAAATAATAATAATAATGAGTTGACCATAGACTCTGAACAAGCCACACTCTTCTTGCCTTACCAATTTCAGAACTTTTCCCCCCACAGTCACATTCCTTTTCTTTCTTCTCATTACAGAGAAGCTCAATCTCACTCACTCACCTATAACCATCATCCTTTTCTCCCCATACATATTTCTTACATATAACACTCTCCTCTATACCTTCTCATACCAATACCACAAACACTAAAAGAAACTCACCTCTTAGCACCTTCACCATCAAGTATTCATAATTCCTTTTGGTGTTTAGTACTTTCATCCCCTCAAGATAGAAAAAAAAATTTTCTTTCTCCTTCTACACCTATTTCAACTAGAAACTTGGCTAAGAAAAAGAGTTTTAATCGTTTTCAGAGGTTGAATTCAGAGGCGTAACACCCTGTATGCATCTGGTTTGTTATCATCACATATGGTATTAAGCATAGTTACAATCATAGTAATTGATTTGAATTACGGATAAACTTTTTCCTTTCTGTTTACTGTTAATTATTAATCTGTATTCAATTAACTCAATTATAGTAATTATAACCTATACATAAATCAGAAGAGTTATATATTAGTTATATATTAGTTTACATTCCCTTATTAGGAAATACCATAAACCAAAGGTGTAAGACAAACTCTAAATTATCCACCATGTAGCCCCCATAGACTAACATGATCAAAATCACTCTTTTGTAATTTTATCGACACAACACAGCCCCTTCATTTCCATAAACTGGATTGTCATCCCTCACCATAAATTCTTATCTTTTACTATGTTAAACTAGACATCTCAAGCTTTCCAACAGCATATTATAAGCCACAATTGGATTTTGTATCAAGATACGTCTGTCGCAAGCCAACTGCTTCAAACTAAATTTTTGGAAACAAGGCAGCAACTTCAAAATTAACCTGGGAAATATTCATATACCAAATGGTTCTAAGATTTCATAGGGTTATATCCCTATTTATTTTCTTAACATAGGTCCAAACCTCACTCAATTTGGAGCTGCCTAGCTCAAGATGTGGCCATTTTACTAAATCATGTTTATGTTGTCCAATAGAGGTAATCGATTACTGAACTAGGTAATCAGTTATCAGGACAGGGTAATCGATTACCCGTACATGATAACCGATTACCAACTCAACAAAAGCTGATTTTTCATCCTATGTTACGTGGTAATTGTTGAGATATATAGTCCCACATTGGTTGTATGTGCAACTAATG